AAAAAAAAAAAAAAGAATAAAAATAAATAAAAGAAAACAAAAGAGATGCATTAAAAGGTAATAAACAGTTCCTCAAGGTAGAAGGATACAAGAGTGATAATCAATTGTCATTTTATACATCAGCAAAGAACAATCCGAAAATGAAATGTAAAAAACAATTCCATTTACAATAGCACTAAATAGAATAAAACACTTAGGAAAAAATTAAAGAAATACAATACTTGCACACTGAAAACTACATACATTGTTGAAAGGAAATAAAGAAGACAAGAAAAATATTGTGTGTTCATTGATTGGGAAGACCTAATATTGTTATTATAACATGGCAGTACTCTCAAACTTAATCTACAGATTCAACACAATTCCTATAAAAATTCTAGCTGTCTTTTTTACATGCAGAAATTGACAAACTGATCCTAAAATTCATATGAAAATGCAAAAGATCCAGAATACTGAAGAAGTCTTAGAAGAAAACATAGGGGAAAAGCTTTGAAACATTGCGTTTACCAATGTTTTCTTGGAGTATAACACGAAAAGTACAGACAATAAAAAAGATAAACTGGACTTTATCAAAATTAAGAACGGTTAGTCAAACTATACTATCAACAGAGTGAAAAGACAACCCACAGAGTAGGAGAAAATATCTGCAAATCATATGCTGACCCAGAATATATAGAGAACTCTTAAAACTCAAAAACAACCCAATTCAAAAATGGGCAAAGGACTTGAATAGACATTTATCCAAAGAAGATATATACAGATGGCTGGTAAACACGGAAAAAGATGCTCAACATCACTAATCATTATGGATGTGTAAATTGAAACCACAATGACATACCACTTCACGTCCATTTAGTACAGCTAATAAAAAAAAGTGTTGGGAAAGATGCAGAGAAATTGGAACCTGTGTGCACTGTTGGTGGGAATGTAAAATGCTGCAACCTTTATGGAAAATACTATGGTGGTTCCTTAAAAAATTAAAACTTGAATTGCCATGTAATCTAGCTATTCCACTTCTGGACATATCTCTCTTCCCATCTCACTCTTCTGTTTTCCTTCACAGCACTTTTTACTAACTAAAGTTATTTTCACCTGTCTACACATTTTGATGTCCAATTCCCACCAAACAAATACATGAGTACCAGATCCATGAGATTAAAAATTTTGTCTTATTTATTGCCCGGTACAGAATAGGCAATCAAGAAATGTTAGCTTTATTATGCAGTAGAAAATAGTCAATTTTACATGGGAGAAGAGGCTGTCTGTAGTTGCAGTTTTAATTCATTGAAAGAGAGATGTTTAAATTATTATTCTGAAAAGACCCTGCCCTCTAGCTTCCTAAATGACATGTGGAGAAACGGCACTAATAGGATCTTTTTCACTTACAGTTTCGTATGTAACAACTGGCAACTGATGACTTTGCCAAGAGCTCCATCCCCAAATCCTGCAATCTGCCAGAGTTTTCGGTGCCACATGCAGCCAGAGCTGCCTGGTCAGCAGAAAAAAGGCTTGTCTGCATGTCTCCAGATGCAGCACTGCTACTTTTTATTTCTGAAAGTGTATTCTTTATATCAGTTTTCATGCATCGGACTTCAGCCATTTGAGTTTTGAGTCTTTTTAGCATCTTTAAGTCAGAGGGAACTCGCCACATTGCCTGCTGCTTCCTTTGATCTTTATCTTTTCGAGAATATGACGCTTCAAAGAGAAAGTGACAACTCATGTTAATACAGACTTTTTAACATTCATGAAATCATTTTGTACTATGAATATATGCAAATTTGATGTGTAAATAAGCTAAGATGCTTTAGGTGGTATCAATAATAAAAGCATACATTAAATGCCATTAAAAAAGATAGTCACAAGTATTTAATTTTATTCACAACTTCAAAGTTAGAATCTGGGTCACATTATAATCACTCAAATCTGAATTATATATTTAACTCTAAATGTTTAAAAAGCTGCCCTAGAGCCTGTGCTTTCTTCTTTATACTTCTCTACTTTTCTCAAATTTTCTACACTGAGGTTTTGTTATGTTCATAATTTAAAACTTTTTTAAAAAACCTAAAAGCCAAATACTTAGTCAAATCTGCTTCCATTATATATAAAAAATATACCAACTACATTAAAAAGTTAATTTACTGAACTACTATTCAATGCAGATGCAGCTATTAAATGCCATGGAAAATCAGAAAAGAATAGTCCCCTAAAAAGAAAAAAGAAAAAAAAAATTTTTTTTAACCAAAAGAATAGTTAGTTCCCTGTCACGGAGGGTCACCAAAGCAGCTGAAGTTGTTTTAATTCCTCCCCTCCCCTCCCCACCCTTACCCAAATATTAAAATGAGAGGCATGAACAAGGAAAATACAAACTTTCTGCTGCAGGAAGGGAAAAAGAGGCAGACGTTTTGGAAATCAAAGAACATTGACTCAAAGCAAAGAGATCAAGCTCCCCCCCTCCAAAAAAAATACCACACGTGTGAGCACACAACCCTCCAAAACGAGACCCTAACTAGACAAACAACAAACCCTTTATTAGCAGGAATGATAGCTGAACCTGCGTATACAATGCAACAATCTTCGCCACGCAAGAGGAAATACAGCAGTAAAAGGTAGACACTGTAGTGTCCCCAACAGTCATTCCCTGTCTTCTTTCTAACCTTGCCAAAAGGACCGATTTTGTTCAGGCATCAGGTGGGCAGCAATGTCCTCAGGAAGGTAGGTCCCTCCTTTGCCCACTGATATGGGTCTGGGACTGGTCTAAGCTTTCCTCTGTGACAGTGGTTAGGGGGGGCACATGACTCAGTGGCCAGGCAAAAGTCTGGGAGGGGCGTACTTCTGGGAAAGATTTTCTGTCCTGATAGGAAGATTTTACTGTGTTTATTTAACAAACATCTATAAAGAGCTCACTGAATGTCAGATACTTTTAAAATATTAAGTCATTTAATCTGTGCATCAATCCTCTGAGGTAAGTAAGTACTATTATTTATCTCCATTTTATAAATGAGGAAAGACACAAAAAGGTTATACGATATACTCAAGGTAACGGAGCTAATAAGCAGAAGAGCTGTAATGCAAAACAAGAACTCCGCCTCCAGAGTTAGTGATGTGAATTATCAGGAACTTTGCTCTCCAGGGTGGCAGGAATAGGGTCTCTTTTCCGTCGTCTTTTTCTTCCTGTTAGTGACACATTTCTGTGAACACATGACACGCAGAGCTGTCGTAGTCATCTTGTTACCGTGAGAGAAGAGGGAAGACAATCACAGGAAGACATCCCCCAGCGCCCTGCCTTTAAGTACCTGATGAACTTGGAATCACTGACCTCCAGATTTCTCAATATCATAATAAAAAGCCTTTATCAGTTATGCCACACTGACAATGAGAAGGCTTCCTGACTTGGCCAAGTTACAAGGTTAATTAGAATGGAGACTCTCATCTGTAAATTCTCTCCTATCATTCAGCTGTAGCCTTCAGGAATGATAGCGCTCTACAGCCTCTCCTCCAGGCTTCAGCATCTGTCAGTGGTGCCACCCTTCTGCTCCCCTAAGCTTCTTCAGAGTCCTCTTTACCACATTCCGACTGGTTGCCAAGCCCTATACATTCTAACTTCACGAGGTTCCAAATATTGCCATAGCCCTACTATAAGTCAAATCTTAATTAGATATTGCCTAGATTAATGTATTCTCTAGAGGTTAAGTAGAACTTTTATGTCAAAAAATTCTAAAGACTTTACCTGCAGCTCTACATATTTTTAATCATATGATTGAGAGAATACAGAGAAAGGTATGAATTTGCCTTCTTATACTAGGAACCACTGAAATAAACTTCTACAATAGTACCTCTGATTAAACTTCCATTTCTGATTGCTTTCTAGGCACTCTCACGTTTCTAAACTACAGTTTGAATCAAACCACTCCTAAACTAAAACAATGGCTCTCCACTGCCCATTATGAATGCCTTCCATAAAATGAACCCAACTTGACTTTCCAGTTCTACTCACCACTACATGCACCTTATAATCTGGTTTAGCTACATTACCAGTTGGTTCTAACTTGATACCTCTTACGATGCTCCTTTTACAGCACTGTAGTTAAGCACTTGCAGTGAGTCTGATAGTAGGTGTTCACTCAATATGAGTTGAAAGAATAAAAGGATAATAAAGGAATACTATGAACAATGCCAACAAATCTAATAACCTAGATGTAATGGGCCAATTACTTGAAGATAATCTGCCAAAACTCACATAAGAAGAAATGGACAATCTCAATAGGCCTGTATCTATTAAAGAAATTGAATCAACAATTAATAGCTTTCTAAATAAGAAAGCATCAGTCCCAAATGAGTTCACTGGTGAATTCTACCAAATATTTAAGGAAGAAAATATACCAATTCTCTACAAACTCCAAGGAGAGAAGCAGACAAAATACTTCCTAACTCAATCTATGAGGACAGTATTACTCTAATACCAAAACTAAACAAAGACATTACAAGAAAACTATAGACCAATATCGCTCATGAACACATGCAAAAATCCTCAACGAAAAATTAGCAAATTGAATCTAAATATGCATTAAAAACAATTATGCACTACAACCAAATGATCCCAGGTATGCAAGGCTATTTCAACATTCGAAAAAATGAAGGTAATCTAACGCATCATATCAACAGATGCAAAGGAACTTCGACAAAATCCGACATCCATTCATAATTTAAAAAAACTCTTAGGAAAGACTATAAGGAAACTTCCTCAACGTGATAAAGAATGTCTACGTAAAAACAACTTAATGTTAACAAACTTGAAGCTTTCCCACCAATATCAGGAACAAGGTAAGGATGTCCCCTTTCACCACTCCTTTTCAACATTGCACTGAAATCCTAGCTAATACAGTAAGATAAGAAAAAGAAATGAGGGCCGGCCAAGTGGCTCGTTGGTTAAGAGCTGGCTTGGGAGCGTGAGCTCTGAACAGCAGGGCCCCGGTTCGGATCCCACATGAGGGCCAGTGACTCTGTGCCCTCTATAGCTAAGATGGTGAACAACAGCTCGAACTGGAGATAAGCTGCCATGAACCACCGTGAGCCACCGTCCAATGGCCAGTGACCGATCTGCCTCACCCGGAAAGAGTGCAATGATCATACCAACATGGGCCAGAGAAGCGATGTCCTCCACAACTAGACTGAAGAACAAAAGGACGGCAACTTGGCGGTTTCCCTTCCCTGATTCCCCAATGCTGTTCCCTCCCCCAATTCCCCAATTAAAAAAAACATTTAAAAAATGAAAGGTATACAGATTCAGAAGGAAAAAATACACAAAGAACTAAAACAGACATCGAAATGCAGGCAAGCATTTTAATAAAAAGAAAGCAGGGTCTTTCTGCAACATTTGCTTTTAATACCCTCTCACGGATAGGTTAATACCATTTGGCTTCCATGACTGTTCTCGTGGTTTGTGTCCTTTCCAAAGGCTCTTCATCTGGGTCATCTTCCACACACTCAGTAAAAACAGATGTTCACCACGAAAATGTCTCTGGCCCTTTTCTGTTGAAAATTTCCTTGATACTCTCTTTTTTGCAATCTTATTCCCTTAGTTTTAGTTATCCAATATCATCTCTAGGCAAGTAACTACCTGTATTCCAGTTCTTAATTTTTAGCTGTCTACAAGGCATCTTTACGTTGCTATCCCACTGGTTATGTCAAACTCAAGATGTTGGCATGCAAGGTTTGCTCTTCCTCTCCACTATTCCCTCCATCTTCTTGTCATTTTAATCATCTGGATTTAAAACTCAAGTCATCTCTAGGGCCGGCCGAGTGGCTCAGTTGGTTAAGAGCTCGCTCAAGAGTTTGAGCTCTGAGCAACAGCGGTTCGAGTCCAGCCCGAGCTGAGCAGCCGCTGAGCTGCCAACAGGTGGCAGGATGGCTCAGCTTAAAAAAAACAAAACAAAACAAAAACCAAAAAAACTCAAGTCATCTCATTTGTATCATTAATTTTATACAGAAAACTAAATTTTTAGACAACGAAGATCTTGTTCTGTTTATATAGCTTGCATTTTTTCCAGTAACACTTGAGTATTTTTCAAAAACATGATTTTACCTTTCTATAAAATATAATATTACATGGTTAAACTGTCATTTTTCAGCCCTAATTGTATTGTTGGATATTTTCAAACAACTGATTGTTTTCTCTTTGGGATATATTACTCTAAGTGAAATTACAAAATCAAAGGGCAGAAATATTTTAAGCCTACTATAAAATTTTCGGTCAGAAAGGTTAAACCAATGTACACACCTGCAGAGCCAGAATTTGACTGTTTCACCAGGTCTTTGCAAACATTGGTTATAATTTAGGCAAAACCTTTGCCAATGTGTTATGTATTTTTTTTTAAAAAGTATTTCTTTATTGATCACAAGAACTACGTGTGATTTTTATTTTCTTTTTATAATTTTATTTTCCAAGTTTTTTACAATATAAATGCCTCAGGAAAAAAACATAAAATTATATATAACGTGACAAGTGTTACAAAAGCACAAGTATAATGTGAAATATACTTGGACCTAGATAAAAGCCAGGTGGTTTCATAAGCTGGTGGGAGACTTTCAGGAAGTATACCTCAGGAAGGAAGAGGCCTAAGGAACCCAGACTCTGTGTCTACGCCCCACTAAGAGCATCTCTCGTTCTGTTTTTCTACACTGAAGCTGTACCTTAGATTTTGTTTGAAAAATGAATTCCGCGGCTTTAAAGAAGCATCACTGTTCTAAATCATTGATTTGATTTGTACAATGCTATTGTTTATGAAGGCAGAAAAATGTTCAGTATATTTTAAAAAGCTTTCCAACAAAAACGGTTTTTAAAATGTGTTATTCAAAGGTCAAGTCTTAGCTGTTCAAAATGATTATGCCTGAGAGTTTCAAAAAGTCCAAGTTGACTACGTAATATGTGTGCGTATATAATTCTCTTCAACAAATAACCTCTGCACATACACCACATAAAATACTGCTGCTAACTGGTATATATTTTTAGGCTACTGAACATCAAAGTGTGAGTAAACCATCTTTTTTCTATATTCAATTTAGAAAGTTCCACTTGGAAGTCAGGGTATTCATTAAGCCTGCAAAACACTCTAAGTCCATTCACAAAGGAAAACTGTCCTTTATTTGGATCAAACGGTCACTTAAGATACAATTTAAATGGCAAATCATAGAAAAACATTCTTACAGGCATTTTGACATTTTTGCACAAAAGACCTTTGAACAGTAACAAAAATTAATTTGATTGATGTCATTTTTATGATAATGAAGTCAATTTGCTATAGAGACATACTGTGCTCTGACACTTAGATGAAATACTTGGATTAAAACTGAAGAGTTCTTTTGAGGAACCACAAAAAAAGGGAAGTCATTAATATTTTACCTGTGGACTGCAAAAATGATGCAGGTGGGCGAGGCTGTAAGCCCCACAAATTTTCCATACTGCTCCGGTCCTTAAGGTCCAACAAATGTATTAAAATGAAAGGATCGATGTCTAATAAACTACTGGGAGCAGCGGAGCATAAATGTGCTCTTCGTGACATTCTACTACCAGCACCAACATAGCCATGGTTACTACCTGCAAAAGAAACAACAAAGATGGAGAAAATGTATGGTATATATTTGCACCAATTTAAGTATACTTAAAAGAAAAAGTAAACTGGTTAATGCTCTTTGAATACTCGTGTATGGACCTGTTTCTTACAGGAGTTGGTTTTAATGATGAGAAGCACAAAGAAGTAACCAGGCTGCCAGAGAGGTGTACAGTTGACTGAGCATTGGCCTCACTGCTATCCACAATTCAGGAGCAACCCTCAACCCTGTCCTGAGCCCCGGAAATAAATAAGTGACAACATATATAATATATACAATTAGGGGGATATGGGTGAAGTAAAGAATATATCCCATAGTCCAGTGGTCTTGGATAAAAGAAAAATCCCCACAATATAACAGATCCCAAGGAACTAGACACCAAGCTAGGGATCTTCTCCAGGTCTTTGGATAGCAAAATGTACAGGTTCGTGACAGTTTGGAAGGTTTTCTTTCTAGCCTAAGTACTGGAGTACAACTTGTTAATGACCGAGGCATAGTATAGACATCTGTAAGCAAATGTCCTATTTGTATCACCTATGTTGGACTAAGCTCCTTAAGCCAAGGAAAACATTAGACTTTTCTCTGGTGCCTCGTACAGTGCCTAGCAAACATTAAGTATGAAAATGTTACTCCTTCAATAAAGCTATTTAAACGTATCCTAAAGAAATACAACATTTAAAAATGTTACATGAAGCAAAGTCTTAGATAATATAGAAATAAAACAATCAAGTACTTATTATTCATGAGTATTTCAAAGAGATCCGGCAGGAAATAACTTAGGAGAAAGTTCAATTATTCAGAAGCTTCAGGCCAATTATTTACTTATATGGTTTTCATCTGTATTCACATCCTCATGTCCTCTTCTTCTTCTACTTCTTCCTCTTCTAAGGATTATCATCCCATTGCCAATTTTTCTTCCCAGCCTCTGTACCCAGTGCAACTCCTATTTTAAAAAGACAGAAAACTATCCCTCCTCCATCTTG